TAGAATAGAATAGAATAGAATAGAATAGAATAGAATAGAATAGAATAATTATTTTATTGGCCAAGTGTGATTAGACACACAAGGAATTTGTCTTGGTGCAAATGCTCTCAGTGTACATAAAAGAAAAGATACATTCGTCAAGAGTCAAGAATCATAAGGCCCAACACTTAATAATAGTCATAGGGTACAATAAGCAATCAAATCATACTAGGAAACAGTCAATAAAAATCGTTAGGATACAAGTGACAAAGTTACAGTCATACAGTCACAAGTGGGAGGGGATGGGTGATAAGGAGTGATGAGAAGATTAATAGTAATAGTAGTGCAAACTTTGTAATAGTTGGACAGTGTTGAGGGAATTATTTGTTTAGCAGAGTGATGGCATTCGGGGGGAAACTGTCCTTGTGTCTAGTTGTTCTGGTGTGCAGTGCTCTGTAGCATCGTTTTGAGGGAAGGAGTTGAAACAGTTTATGTCCAGGATGTGAAGTGTCTGAAAATATTTTCACAGCCCTCTTTTTGACTCTGTGCAGTATACAGGTCCTTGATTGAAGACAGGTTAGTAGTAATTTTTTTTTCTGCACTCCTAATTATCCTCTGAAGTCTGTGTCTGTCCTGTTGGGTTGCAGAACCAAACCAGGCAGCTATAGAGGTGCAGATGACAGACTCAATAATTTCTCTGTAAAACTGTATCAGCAGCTCCTTGGGCAGCTTGAGCTTATACTATCTATATAAGTCTTAAGTGCTATTGTTATTAATGTTTCTGGCTTGCTTTCTCCCTGACTGACCTATTGCTCTTCGCAGGTGTTTATTTCTGTGGACGAAATGGACTCTGTAGACCGAGACCTGAAGGCCCACGAAGAACCATCTTTGACCAAGGTTTGCCTAGATGCACCCACGGTTGTGGTGGCAGTTGACCAACAACAATCAGTAGAGTTTGATTCTCCTGACTCCGGGCTCCCTTCTTCTCGGAATTACTCCGTCACATCAGGCATCCTCTCCAGCATCGATGATGGGCAGAGCATCTGCTTTGAGGATGCGACCGAAGAGGAAACCGGCCCAGAACTGCAGAGACCGGATCTAGATCACGTTTCACCAATCAAGGGCTTGGCTTGTTCGAGCTGTGCAACGGAGGAACGGACATGTTCCCAAACGGACTCTAAAACAGCTGCAGAAGAGAGCATCTCTGTGTGCTCTGCTTCCTATACGGTAGGTAAGGGCCAAGGGCGGGCATAGGTATGCACAGGAAGTCCTCACTTAACGACCTTCATTTGGACATTTCACATCCTCTATTAAAAGGGCATTGCATTTATGAAATATCCGTCCCAGGGAGGAATCCAACTTCCTCCCCCAAACTTTTATTCACTCAGAGGTGCCACCTAGTTTTAATTGTGTTTTTATTATTTATTTCTTTAAAAATCTCAGTGGTGTAATGGCTTAGTGGTGAAGACGCTCGCCTCCCATTCAGAAGGGTGGGTTCAATGCTAGGTAGCGGCATCTTGCGGGAGAAAGAAAAAAAATATCTGCTGTGAACTCAGCATAGGCCTTAGGAAGGGCATCCAGCTAGTAAACGCTCAGATCCACTCAAGTCAGCCCAATTCTATCCCGAATTAAGGGCTTAGAGCAGAGGTCTCCAAAATTGGCAACTTTAAGACTTGTGGACTTCAACTCCGTAGCATAGCTGACTGGAGGATTGTGGGAGTTGAAGTCCACAAGTCTTAAAGTTGCCAAGTTTGGGAACCCCGGGATTAGAGGGTCATGAAAAAGGAGTTATTTATTTATTTAAAATCCTGTCATGTCCACTCACCTTAAAAAACAACAACACAGCTCTGGGTGGCTCACAACCATCATGTAAAACCAAACATTAAAATCAATAAAAACAAAAACACTGGAAAATAAAATCTGGCACCACAAGCAGTCTCTCCACTGATGCAACCACACCTCTATTTTTCAACTTCCTATTTTTATCCATTTCATGGAATCGCTGCCCCTTTTCTTTTAAC